AGAAATGTTTTAATAATTATTAGAATGCAAAAAAAAAATGTAAGTTCATACTAGAGACGAAATACTTCAGCATTTTTTTTCTTAGGTAGCTGCTAGTCTTTGCAAAATATTACGATTATTTGGAAAATTAATCAGTTATAATTTTTAGTTGTATGGAGACTGGAATATCTCATTTATCATTTCATTTCTAAAGTTCTAATTCATGAAACATTTATGCTATTTAAATAATAATTTATTATTATTATTATTGTCTTTTTTTCTGCAGAGTGAAGATGGAGATATTATTGATTGCGTCAACATTTATGACCAACCTGCTTTTGATCATCCAGCCTTAAAAAACCACACTATCAAGGTCTTCTTACTCTTCTTCTTTTTANCGTGTCTCCTACCTGAGAAAGTATCAGGGTTCAATATGTCAACGTTAATCAAAGCTCATGTAACAAGCAAGTAGTGAAACTATTTAGAAGAATGGTAAGAGGATATACAATTACATTTTTCTAACATATATTATAGGAGTAAAATTTCATAAAAAAAATAAACTTTTATATTAAAAAATAATAATATCAAATAAATATAAAAAAATTATATGTGTCAAATATATTTTCTTAATTAATTAATGTAATATAAAAGGTATTAAAAGTCAAAGAGACTTTTTCTAATTTTAAAACAAATTTGGAAGTGAGTTGAGTAACGTATATCACATTAAAATTGTTTTTAATGTTCCTCTCAATTTTTTAGAAAGTATGTGTCTTCTTAATACCAAAGTTTAAAGTTTGATTACAAAAATAGTTAATAAATTATTAATTTTCATAATTTTTAATCAATTTCCTAATTTATTTTTGATATTTTTGGCATATAAAATTAGCCGGGATAGTATATTTTCGATTCGCAATAAAGTATTAATTTTTTCTTCTTTCCATAATATAATTTATATTCTCTTTTTAAAATAAAGTATTAATTTTGACGTATTTTTCCAAAAAGGAAATATGAGACGTTTTTATTTTTGTTAAAAAAATAATTTAATCAATAAAAAAGAGTTTTATGTGAATATTTTCGTAAAATTTTAGTCCTCGTTAATTTTGTAAAGGCGTGAAATGGACAAAAAAATAGAATTACACGAGCTACAAATAAAAAAAAATGTTTTAATAATGATTAGAATGCAAAAAATGTAAGTTCATATTAGAGACGAAATACTTGAGGAATTTTTCTTTCTTGAAATCTAATTTTATATAGAGGTATAAAGTATACGTGATTAATGTTTTAATATAGGTAGCTGTTAGTCTTTGAAAAAGATTAAGATTATTTGGAAAATTAATCAGCTATAGTTTAGTTGTATAGAGACTGAAATATCTTATTTATCATTTCATTTCTAAAAATCTAATTCATGAAACATTACGCTATTTAAATATTTTTACTATATGTTGTTAGAGATATCTTTCAAAGCAATATTTAAAAATAAATACAAATTCAGTATATGATATCTAATTTAAGCAATAAGAAATTAGAAAGGGTTTATTATATGTTATGTAATTATAAAAGTTATTATTATTATTATTGTCTTTTTTTGTTGCAGAGTGAAGATGGAGATATTATTGATTGTGTCAACATTTATGACCAACCTGCTTTTGATCATCCAGCCTTAAAAAACCACACTATCAAGGTCTTCTTATTCTTCTTCCTAGATATTTAATTCCTAAATATTTAATTATAATTCCTAATTTTTAGTAAGTATTTAATGATTGGATTTTGCAGGTGATGCCTGATTATATGCTACAATTGGAAAATTCAAGCACAGTAGAAGAAGATTCAGAGTCAGAGATATTTCAGACATGGCAGAAGAGTGGAAGTTGTCCACAAGGAACCATCCCCATTCGTAGAATTGTAAAGGAAGATTTACTCAGAGCTGCTTCTCTCGACAGCTTTGGCCAGAAATTCCCACAGCACTACGATAATTCAACAGGCCAAGAAGACGGATATGTTCCCCCAACTCGATCGGTAATTTTCTCAATCACAGTCTGCAATTATATATGTGACCATTTCTTATTTGGTTAGGGTAACTCGATTAATGCAACCTAAATTTTAGTAATAGATAGAACTGATGGTAAGGTAACACGGTGATGCAGTCAGCATTTCTTCTCACAGTGGGATTCAACTACATTGGAGCGCAAGCAGATATCAACGTTTGGAATCCAAAGGTTGCTCAGACAACCGAGTTCACCACAGCTCAAATTTGGCTCAAGAACAGCAACGGTCCCTATTTTTCAAGCGTTGAATCAGGGTGGACGGTCGGTTCCCCTCACAAACTACTGTATTCTACACCTCTATTGCATCACAACCCTTCACTTGGTAAATAACACAAACATCAATAATGCTTTCTCACTGCTATTGATTCAGGTGAATCCCAAGCTATATGGTGACTTTGCCACCCGACTTTTCGCCTACTGGACTGTAAGTGTGTGTGTGTCTTGGATGAAATATTAGTAATTATGCAAAGGAGAAAGTAAAAAATTGGTGTAATTTTTGGATTTTTGATTTGGTGTGTTGCAGAGGGATTCATACAGATCAACTGGATGCTTCGATCTTACATGTTCAGGATTTGTGCAAACAGGGCAAGTAGCGCTTGGTGCTAGCATAGGACCTGTATCATTATTTTATAGAGAACAGTATGACATTAACGTTGGAATATTCCTGGTGAGATAACGTTGAATTATTAGTATGTTAAAATTGATAGTAAAAGGATTAACGTGGTACATATGTTTTAGGAACCAAAGTCGGGAAATTGGTATCTGAAAGTGAAGAACAATATGGCAGTGGGTTATTGGCCAGCTGAAATAGTGGGGTTATTGAGCCACAGTGCGACATCGGTTGAGTGGGGGGGACAAGTATCGAGCACGAATATAAGAACGAAAAAGCCTCACACGGCAACACAAATGGGTAGTGGAGAGTTTGCAAATGGCCTGTATCAACAAGCATGCTACATGAAGAACATAAAGATTATGGATTATTCACTTCAGCTAAAGTATCCCAGAGATGTAACTCCAGTGGCTCAAGAGCCCTTTTGTTACAGTGCCCTGAATGATGCCAGGCCTGGGGTCGAACCTATGTTTTATTTTGGAGGCCCTGGTCAAGACCTACCCTACTGTTCCTGATCCATAAACAATATCAATTACTGTATCATCAATCTTTCAAACCACTCTTTCCTTTTCAGTAAGTTCCTGTACTGTGTTAACCCACAAATTACCAGGAACTTCTTTTCACAAGGGTCTTCCTTTTATATACTTCTCCACTTTTTCATTTATAAGATATTTGAATTTTCAACCATTTAGTTACAAAAGATTAATCAATAAAATTATTAATTTCCATAATTTTAAATTAAATTCATAATTTTATTTTTAATAATCTGTTTAACTTTTTTATTCTTTTTTTTTTGCGTAAAAGTACTTGTGTACTTAATACCCCAACTATATACAAAAAAATAATCAATAAAGTTATCAATTTTCTTTATTTTAAATCAATTTGAATAATATATTTATTATTTTAACAAAAAAATCAGTCAGAATAATATATTTTATATTTATACTTAAATTTTAATTTTCTTCTCTTGCTATAAAATAATCCATGTTCTCATTTTTATCAAACTTGAAAAATAAGGGAACATAATTATTTTAATCTAATTACAAAAAGAATTTTACACTATCAAAAATATTTTATATTAATATTTAAGTTGTTTTTATTGAACACATTTTTATTTTAATATTATTTAAAAAATGTGTTTGACATGACACGTTATACAAATTTAATATAATTAAATTAAGAAAATTTTATTTACTCGTTTAAAATTTAAAAAAAGTGTATATTAAAATTTAAATAAAAAAAATTTCAGTTTTACAAGTGCATCCAATAAATTTTATTAATAAATAAATAGATTAAAAACAGGAAGATACATGTCAAACAATTAATTTATAAAAGTCAAAAATGTAGTCAGACACAAGTTCCAATTCATTCACAATTGGAACTTGTAATATAATAATTATTTTAATTATTTTTCTACAATTTCAAAGATATAATAAATAAAGTAATAATTAATTTCTTTTTAATTTAAAAAAATTATGAAAGTGCCCGTGGGTTAGAATCTGCGTATCAATTCTGTTTACCACATATTCAAATCGGTTGGAATTAAATTTTTTTTTATACAAGTCAATTCTTAATCTGATTTAATAATCTACTTAATTTAATTTAATTATTTTTTATTTTATATTTTAATTTGTTTTCTTATTAAATTATAAATATAAATAAAGAAAAAATGTTTTAAAAGAAAAAAATGTTTTAAAAGAAAAAAATGTTTTAAAAGAAAAAAATATTATAAATTTATCCATTCAAAACTCTAATATTATAAATGGACAAGTGACACAAAAATTATCAATATTATAAATTTATTTATTCATTTTTTGAATTGTATGTTATTTTTTTTCTATTTTGAATTATCTTTGGGATTTAACATCATTTTAGAGTGAAATTTATTTAAATTTGAATAACAAAAAATTGTTATTTTTTATTTAAAAAAATTGAATTTAAAAAAAGTTATAATTGAGTGAGTCAACCCATATAATTCATTAACCCCTAATTATTAGATCAAATTTGAATTTTTTCGATTACTGATAAATGAATTGGGTTGAATTAACTTATTAAATAACCAATTCGTCCAGTCGTGTAGTCCATTTTGACATCACTGTAAACAATACAAATTTTTAAGAAAGAAATATGAAAAAGAAAAGGGTAAAAATAATAGTTATTAATAATTTTTGCAATCAGAAAATGATAATAATAAATAAATAGAATTAGGAGAAAAGAGGTATAAAAGTCAAAACAACTAACTTGGTAATAAATAAATCAATAAATGAGTGATTGATATTTATTACTCACGTCTATACAAGTTTAAGTCATAGACATACATTGATTTGTAGGTTAGCACAGAAATGGAGAATAGAACTCAGAGTGAAATGAAAGAAACAAAGGCTACAATTATGTACCTTTGTGTATTTTTTGCATTGTGTATCAGACTCAACGTTCAAGCAAATCCATTATCAACTGTAGAAACAGAAATTGAAGCCAAATTGAAGCAACTAAACAAGCCTGCTGTAAAAACCATCAAGGTTTGCAATTACATCATTTTTTTTTAGTACGATTTTTTTTTCTTTCACATTTTAATTCTCTTAAATCCTTTATTTTCAAGTTATGTGTTCACCTTTTTCATATAATAAAATTAATAAAATTGTAATTATAAAAATAAATATAAAATTGTATTTTATTATAGATAATTTTATTTATTTTATAAATAATACTTTATTAAAATGATTAAATAAAAACAATTCACTTAAAATGTAAAATTAACAAATAATTACTTATTGAAAGATAAAATTAGAATAATTATTTACGGGAGAAGATCGAATCTCTCTGTATCATTATATACATAAATCAAATAATTGATGCTTCCAAAAACCTAAATTTCTCGTCTTAATAAAAAATATATTTAAGAGAACTTCTTAAGTTTGGTTGGATATCTAAGTGTAAAATTTGAATTTTTTACTAAGTCTTTTTATTATCATGTTCTATGTTTTTAAAACATTAATGATTTAAAATATATTTAAAAAAATAATATATTTAAAAAATACAATAAAAAACAGTAAAAATTTGAAAAAAAAATAAAGTTGAAAAAATGTGTCTCTCACCATAAGTACAGGATAAAGTAGTAGGGTTGATTATTTTACGCGTTAATTAGAGTTCCTATAATAAGCAAGGAGTAAAATTTATTTAGTAGAATGGTAGGATGATACACATTATATTTTTCTAACATATATTATAAAAGTAAAATAATCATAAAATTAAACTTTTATATATAGAAAAAGAATATCAAATAAATATAAAAAATTTATATGTGTTAAATATCTTTTCTTAATTAATTAATGTAATATAAAAGCTATTAAAGTCAAAGAGACTGTTGCTAATTTTAAAACAAATTTATAAGTGAGTTGTTTTTAATGTTCCTTTCAATTTTTTTAGAAAGTATGTGTCTTCTTAATACCCGTTTAAAGTGTGATTACAAAAATAATTAATAAATTATTAATTTCATAGTTTTTAATCAATTTCCTAATCTAGTTTTGATATTTTTGGCATATAAAATTAGCCCGGATAGTATATTTTCCATTTGTAATAAATTATTAATTTTTTTCTTCTTACCATAAAATAATTTAATTCTCTTTTTAAAATAAAGTATTAATTTTGACGTATTTTCCCAGAAAAAGAAATATGAGACGTTTTTATTTTTGTTGGACTTTAAATAAAAGTTTAACTGATAAAAAAGAGTTTTATGTGAATATTTTCGTAAAATTTTAGTCCTAGTTAATTTTGTAGAGGCGTGAAATGCACACAAAATAGAATTATAAGAACTAAAAATAAAAGAAATGTTTTAATAATTATTAGAATGCAAAAAAAAAATGTAAGTTCATACTAGAGACGAAATACTTCAGCATTTTTTTTCTTAGGTAGCTGCTAGTCTTTGCAAAATATTACGATTATTTGGAAAATTAATCAGTTATAATTTTTAGTTGTATGGAGACTGGAATATCTCATTTATCATTTCATTTCTAAAGTTCTAATTCATGAAACATTTATGCTATTTAAATAATAATTTATTATTATTATTATTGTCTTTTTTTCTGCAGAGTGAAGATGGAGATATTATTGATTGCGTCAACATTTATGACCAACCTGCTTTTGATCATCCAGCCTTAAAAAACCACACTATCAAGGTCTTCTTACTCTTCTTCTTTTTAGTTGATTTTTATAATAAAAATAATAAAACTTAATTATAATTTCTAGATAAGAAATTGACACTTAAACTATATATTTAGTTATAAATTTCATAGCATTCATTAAAAATCATATAAAATTTACAAAATGAAATACACAATTTAAATAATAATATTTCAATTTTATGACTACAAGTTAACAAAAAATTATCATCTCTTATGGGAACTTTTATACTAAGAAATCGATGTGGTACACATCTACATGTTATTTTAAACACCAGACTTAAAATGAAACAATTGTTAGGTGCAGAAATAATGATAAAAAAATTACTGTTGTCTTTCTTGATATCATCGTCCTAATTTTTAGTAAGTAATAGCATTTAACGATTGGATTTTGCAGATGATGCCTGATTATATGCTACAATTGGAAAATTCAAGCACAGTAAAAGAAGATTCAGAGTCACAGATATTTCAGACATGGCAGAAAAGTGGAAGTTGTCCACAAGGAACCATCCCCATTCGTAGAATTGTAAAGGAAGATTTACTCAGAGCTGCTTCTCTCGACAGCTTTGGCCAGAAATTCCCACAGCACTACGATAACTCAACAGGCCAAGAAGACGGATATGTTATCCCAACTCGATCAGTAATTTTCTCAATCACAATCTTCAATTATATGTGACCATTTTTTATTTGGTTAGGGTAACTTGATTAATGCAACCTAAATTTTAGTAATAGATAGAACTAATGGTAAGGTTACATGGGGATGCAGTCAGCATTTCTTCTGACTCTTGGATTCAACTACATTGGAGCACAAGCAGAGATCAACGTTTGGAATCCAAAGGTTGCTCAGACAAACGAGTTTACCACAGCTCAAATTTGGCTCAAGAACGGCAACGGTTCCTATTTTTCAAGCGTTGAATCAGGGTGGACGGTCGGTTCCCCTCACTAACTACTGTATTCTACACCTCTATTGCATCACAACCCATAACATAAACTTCAATAATGCTTTCTCACTGCTATTGATTCAGGTGAATCCCAAGCTATATGGTGACAGAGCCACCCGATTTTTCGCCTACTGGACTGTAAGTGTGTGAGTGTATATGTCTTGGATGAAATATTAGTAATTTTGCAAAGGAGAAAGTAAAAAATTGGTGTAATTTTGGGATTTTTGATTTGGTGTGTTGCAGAGGGATTCATACAGATCAACTGGATGCTTCGATCTTACATGTTCAGGATTTGTGCAAACAGGGCAAGTAGCGCTTGGTGCTAGCATAGGACCTACATCATCATTTTACAGAGAACAGTATGACATTAACGTTGGAATGTTCCTGGTGAGATAATGTTGAATTATTAGTATGTTAAAATTGATAGTAAAATGATTAACGTGGTACATTTGTTTTAGGAGCCAAACTCGGGAAATTGGTATCTGAAAGTGAAGAACAATGTGGCAGTGGGTTATTGGCCAGCTGAAATAGTGGGGTTATTGAGACACAGTGCGACATCGGTTGAGTGGGGGGGACAAGTATCGAGCACGAATATAAGAAAGAAAAGGCCTCACACCACAACACAAATGGGTAGTGGAGAGTTTGCAAATGGTCGATATCAGCAAGCATGCTTCATGCGGAACATAAAGATTATGGATTATTCACTTCAGCTTAAGTATCCCAGAGATGTAACTACAGTGTCTCAAGAGCCCTATTGTTACAATGCCCTCAATGATGCCAGGCCTGGGGTCGAACCTATGTTTTATTTTGGAGGCCCTGGTCGAGGCCTAGCCTACTGTCAGTGATCCATGAATAATATCAATTACTGCATCATCAATGTTTCAAGCCACTCTCTTTTTCCTTTTAAATAAGGTTCTTTACTGTGTTAACCCACAAATTACCAACAACTGTAACCTGGAAAACCACTTGAAGGAGAACCAATTCATTATAGTGTTTTGAACTTAATGTAAAATAAATAAAGAAAATACAGTGAAAACTGTGAATAAGAAATCAATCCCTAAAACTCTAATAGCAAAAAACAACCAAATTTTAACCAAAAATTTTAAAAATTACAAAATAAATGACAGCTGTGGGATTTGAACCCACGCCCTTTCGGACCAGAGCCTAAATCTGGCGCCTTAGACCACTCGGCCAAACTGTCATTTTTGTAAGTAATCACACAAGTTTATTTATAAACCAAGTTTGACTATAGCAAACCTATATAATCTTTTTATAATTTTAAAACCCAAACCATTTCAAATCAATTTGGTTCGAAAAATTGAGTGAGTTCCTCCTGTGTTCAAGACACAGGAAAAGAGAGAGATCCCCTGACAATTGGAATGGCGTGCATGGCTACCCATGAGAAGAAAATGGTCTCAAAGTTATCACATGCAAATCGAGTACCATTTCCACTGGCTGATCCATTAAACGAAAAAAAATCAAGTAGATTAACAAGTAATGTTTCTATGACAATTACCAGTTCCAAGAATGCAATATAAGGGTAAAAAACCTCCTCCGAAACAGAGAGGAAGAACAGCACTTATGTGTAGAACGAACATGTATGGAAACAAGATACAATAAATATTACATTTTGACCAGTTCTGAAATACCACATGTATCTACATACCAATGTGCTGTAACAAGGTCAAAACTACGATAAAAAGTATGAATTAAAACAGCTTGTTTCATGACATAATACTCAAGAAAGAACAGGAACTAGACAAACTTCTTCAACCATCACTAGACTGAGTCATACTGTTTTCTCTCTTCCTGAATTGATTGAAAAATTCTAGCTGCTGAAGCAGTTTCTGATATTCGGTTGTGCGGCACGACTTTGATTACTCGAGTTGGTTGTCCGGTTTCCAGAGAGCGAGGAATAGACTCAGGTTCTGCCGGAACCATAGGGAAAAGAGGAAGAACATCCCTTCCTTCTGCAACTTGCCCTGTGCTTAATCCCTGTGCCATTTCACCAGGACTACTTGCTGTACTCCCCTGCAACTCAAAATCCTTAGATGTCTGATATTTCAGGACATGTGAGAATGCTCCCTTTCTCGGAGTTGGCAAATTACAAGAACTTTGATTGTTTGTGATATGATCAGCTTCCCCTCCAGGTAAATGATCATTATACCTGTGAGAACCTAGTGAAGAGAACTGGTTCACCTGATCAACAGCTGACTCTGATATTGTTGCATTCATAACTGTCATCCCATTTGGAGGGAAGTAAGCAAGACTTCCTGGAGGTGTTTGTGGTGAAACCCCAACTCCTTGAAGAGAATTTGGGATTCCATAGGCTGGATTCATAAAATTACCACCAAAAGGAGCAGGCCCACATCCTCCACCATCTGTTTCTGTGAATCCAGGCCTAGGATATGGCTTGTAGTCAAGCCCTTCGTAAGGAGTCATAACAGGAACTAACCATTGGTGCCCAGCTGACTGATGGAAACACCAAGGGTCCATTCCACTGTCAGCAGCCACATTTGCCTGTTGAGGATTTCTTGGAAAAGGGGTGTAGTTTGAAAGGTGGCTATCGTTTTTGACTGATGAGAGAGACGTCTTGCCAACTGCATTCTCCGCAGAACATTCCATTTTATGATTTAACTTTTCAGAATCATCTTTGCGTATAAGGTTTTGTTGCCAAGGTTTTACAACATATTCCAGTGAAAGTTTCTTCCGAGTAGATCCCTTTGGAGTAGACTTTCCCAGAAAAGTGCCATCTTCAAGCAAAACCTCTGGTGATCCAGCAATTAGTTGTTGGACCTGCTTAAACATAAAAAATACTTCATTAGTATGAAAAAACTTCAGGAGTGTGCGTGAAAGGGAAGCTAATAAGCTTCCCACCAACACATGATGCTGAACAGTAGCAGAGATATTTACCTTTATCAATCTGTGAAGCTCAAACACTTGGACAGCAAACACTCTCTGTTGACTGTAGAGAGGAACAAGACTTGGATCAAGAAAATTGCACAATACTCATCTAATAAGGATTTGAGACATATAGAATTGAAATAACATAGAAAATGAAGCTATTGAAGTATATGATCATGTCGGAACTAGGATGCACTGGCAAAGAACTAACTACCAAATCAAAGGATCTCCAATCACATTAGGTAACTGGTTAAGCAAAATATCTTCCGGTCAACAATTTATGTGTGTGTGTGGGTTGTGGGGGGCGGGTTCACATATTTACCATGCATATCGTAGTGTCATGAAAAAGCTTTCACATGGTTTAAGACAGTAAAGACTTGTATCTAAGGCCATTTAAAGTTACCATTGAAAAAACATTATATAATTCAAAATAAATATTTGAACAATTTCTTTTCTCTGTTCGGACTAAAGACTGGATAACAAGGAGCATTGGAGCATACAACAATTTGTGGGAACATTAGCATTCAACAGTCACAAAAAATCAATCACTCTACAAAAAATGTAAAACTTCACAGTAAACTTCTTTTCTGGGGCTGGAGATAAGCACATGCACATCAAATTCATGCAAAAAATATCTGTGATATGAAATTTATCCAAGCTCTAGATGGCAAGACGACCTGACTAACAAAAGTGTGTGTAAGTCCCAACCCAAAATTCTCGAAAGTAGAAAAAGAAGACACTGGATAAGTTACAGAAAAAGGGCAAAAATACCCTTATCATCAAAATCTCAATCATGAACTCTCCAAGTGTCCCTACCATACATCCAGGGTCATCCTGCCTTACTTGGTCCCCCTTCTTAGTTCAAGTCCTTCAGTGTAGTGTAAGGAAACTTGCCCCAGTGGTGACATGGAGAACCAAGCAAGAGGAAACGAAGACAGAAACATATCCAAAATCCAGTGGCTAGAAGACAGTGAATCATGAGATGATATGCTGTACAAGGGTGCCCTCCAACATAGTATAATATTAAGACTGCTCACTGCCCTGTTGTAACCAGCATCCACCATTAAAACACTATTAAGGACTTTGATTTTACAGCAACAACAATAACAATAGTCATGTCCCACTAAAGACTTTGAATCTATAAAAAATTCAAAATAGAAGGTGCCCAGGACTAGCAAATTTCCTTTCTTGAAAACAACATTTATAACTCCTTAATTGAAATGAAAATATCCAGCCCACATGCATAGAGTATATATAACTAAGGATGCATAATTGGAGAAAATGACAATCAGTGATGAACAGTTTCCTAAAATCAGTGGACATATTAAGCTTCCACCAAAGTATGGCTTTTGGGTTTTGTAATCTACATCTGCATATGGTTGTCCTTGTCCACAATAGTCAACAATTAAGATATTGTCAGGTCCAATCAATTAAAAGAGTTTACTATTTATATGACAAAAAAATATTTCACAAGGAAAATAGACTTCATTAAGACCATTAAGAACTGCCAATGCAACCAACAGGGAACATGACTTACTGGGAAATTGCTCTTCTAGCTTTCCAGAATTGCTTTTGACCTATTATTCCAACAACATCATCTGGAGAAATATTCACTGGTGACAGATTGTCTACCGAGGAGATCTTTGAAGCATTGTCACTTCCATTTAATTTTCCCCCCTGCATCAGACTGCCCATCCTGGTATCATGATGTCCAGTGTCATTGATTGCCTCAGCTGGATTGGTTTGGTTTGCTGTAGCGGCATTTCCATTACCAAGCTTCCTTGAAGACTGAACAAGAGAACCACTGTGTCCAATGTCATTGGATTGGGACCCCACTCCGCAGTCCTGCCGTAAGCAACCATCATCCTGTCTAAATCTGTTCCTTTTTGATACATGACAATCTTGAAACTCTTGATTCGGAGTCACCTTGGCTTGCCTTACTAAGGTGTCAATATTTTCTCTCGTGGATATGCTTCGGACAGACGTTAATGGCTGGTCTTTACTTGTACTTACTTGTGGAAGACCATCAGTCTCACATCGCGCATCTTTCCTGACATGTGAGGACCCAAATTGTTTGGGAACCCTTTCACAATCACTTTGCCCTGCAACTGAACAACCGAAATACCTAGTGCCTGTATGAGTGATCTTTTTCCTGTCGAAACTCTCAACACTTTTATGATTACACTGACCAACCCTTGAATGAACGTATACAGGAACCCTAAAGTCTTCTTCATATACCTTCTTTCTCTGTTCAAGAGAACAAGTCAAATTTGCCTCTTCCGATTGGCGAGAGTGACATTTTTCCACGGGACGAATAGGTTTCTGCGATGGCAAATGAACAGGAAAGACATGATTTCTCTCAGGGACAGTCCCCTGCAAATAGGTAAATCCAATTCCAAACATTCAGAAAGAAAGACAACCATCTCTTGCACAAAATAGTCAGAACATACACAAGAACAGAACCACTAATTGGCAAAATAAAATACTCTCATACTTAAAGAAACTACACGAAATCATATCAAGTAACAGAATCCAAATATTACCTGACTTGAGGATGTAGGAGGAGCAGTATTACTGGAAATATTTTGGTTGAGTGGCACAACACCTGAATTGAACCTTTGAGAGGGAATACTAAACTGCTCATAGAGGGCCATCTTATTCCTAGGTGGTGCTCTTGGTCCTCCCTTTTCTGTATCATTGACATGTAGCCTAGGGAACATTGGCCCCATCACCTTCTCATCATCCTTCCCTCTCTTCATTCTTATACCTCCAAACCTTAATCCTAACAGTACACAATACCTTACGTTTCTTTCTTGTCCTTTTATGTTAAATTTTGCAATACATGATTCTCTTATCCACAAATCCAAAACAATCTCTCACCGACAGCACACAATTAACGTCTGATTAACACTTAACCATGAAACTCCAAACAAGCTAGTAA